AGACCGGGAATTCTATCGCTCACTATGATGTGCACTGACCACCAGGGGGCGGCATGGAATGAAGGAAGGCCCCAGCCCGCAGCTGACAGCCGAGGAAGGGAGGCCCTGGCTGGCAGTGGAAGGCCCCGATCAGCCCTGATCACTGGCCAGGCCTAGGGACCCTACCCGGGCATGAATTTCATGCACTGGGCCTCTAGTCTTACAATAAATAAAAAATAAAAGAAACTCAGCAAATTAAAATTCTTCAACCTGATGAAAATCATGTATGACATATTTAACAATAGCATATTGAATGCTTTTTCCCTATGATAGTTAATGAACTAGAAATGTTCACCCACACTAATTTACTGGATTGTAACATTTTGAAATGTATCAAAAATATGAGTATTTGATGAATAAAGAAATGGATAGATAGAAAAGTGATAAAGCAAATTTAAGAAATTATTAATTATTGACTCCAGGTGGTAGGTGTGTGCATGTTCACTCTGTAATTCTTCCAACTTTTCTGTATGTTTGAAAATGTTCATAAAAAGATATTGGGGAACCGGTATGCAAAGTCCTATGTTAGAGAGACCTATTTATCTTTAACTCTGTGTTTTCCAAACTCCTTTTTCCACAAAGCAAAATTTTTAAAAAACCCTAAGGAAAATGTAATCAGCCCTGCAGAAATGCTCTGGAAAACATTTCCTATTTAGATTTAGTCTACACCCATTTTAATTTTTTAAACAAGAATGATGTGCCACATCCATTGCTGCATAACGAACCACCTCAAAATACAGTGGCTTAAAAGAACGACCATTTATTATTTCTCATTGTCTCTCTTCAGGTGGCCTTCAGGTGGTTTTGTCTAGCCTTCCGCAACAGCATAATGGCCAGACTCCAAGAGGAGGAAACAGAGCTGTAAGTTCTCTTAAGGCGTGGGAAGATTCTCAGAATGTCACTTCTACATTCCACTGGTTAAAGGAAGCCAACAGGCCAGCCCAGATTCAAGCAAAGAAGAAACAGACTTCATTCACCTCCTGGTATGAGGAGCAGCCTGGAGAGAAGGGGAACTGATGGGGGTCATCTTTGGAGATGATCACAGAGGACATTTGGTGCCAAACTTTCCATTTAAAGCACAAGTTGTTTGCCTTATTAAAGATGTTTAAAATTTACAAAGGAATGAATTGCTATTTATCTTGCAAAAGCAAGCTTTGATTTTCAGATTAGAGCTTTGTTAGGTAGCAAACTTCAAAGTGCACTGAAGCATTGATTTGATGTGGGAATTGTCCTGTACTTGAGAGTCAGAAAACCTAGGTGTCTATTTTGACTGCGATTTTTCCAGCTGGGGAACGTGGGCAAACACTTAACCTCCCATAACCTGAGTTCCCTTGTTTGTAAGGTGGTGTTGTTTAACTCACAGATTTTTATTTTAGGCTAAAAAGAGACAGAGGTGTTCCATGGTTCCCAGAGAGCAGGTCTCAGGGAACCGGAACTGGAACCAGAGCAGTTCTGAGGAATCCTCAGCAGGATCTGAGTCGTCACGCCCCCGCTCCACTGTTCACATGTGCTTCCTATCATTAATGACTAGCTCTTCCTCTCTACCATCGGTATTTCCTCTTTACCACATAGTTCTTGATTTTTCATCCTCTCAGCCTGCCATGAAGCATCATGGTCAAACCTCACAGTCAAGTCGAGGCATTAGCAACCGTGGTCCTGTGAGTCAAAAGGGGCCTGCCACTGCTTTTATAAATGCAGCGTTATTGGAACACAGTCAGACTCACGCATTCACTATTGTCTGTGGCCCCTTTTAGCTACAAAGGCAGTGTTGAGCGGTTGCAACAGAAACAGTGTGGTTCACAAAACCAATATGGCTTTTTATTTTTATTTAATTTTTTAAATATGTTTTTATTGATTTCAGAGAGGGAGAAGGAGAGAGAGCTAGAAACATCAATGATCAGAGAGAATCATAGATTGGTTGACTCCTGCATGCCCCCTACTGGGGATGGAGCCCACAACCCAGGCACCACGTGCCCTTGACAGGAATCGAACCTGGGACCCTTCAGTCTGCAGTCCAATGCTCTGTCCACTGAACCTAACCAGCCAGGGCCCAATATGTCTTGTCAGAGACAGTTTCCTGATCCCTGGTCTAGATTCATGGCTCCTGTCTCTAGGCATTCGTTTAGCTTCTGCTCTCACTACCTCCTTCTTCAAGTATTTCCCAGTCCAAGTTCCTAGAAGAGAGAACCAAATTCCTCTGAAATCCTTATTCCTCAGCCTGGAATGAAATTAAAGGACATCTTCTTTTCATGCCAGGCCACCTCCCCAGCTATGGTGAGGCTGTATACAGGTGACATGTTCTCTCCCACGTTATTCAGTCAATTGTGGCAGTGATGTAGGTAACATGGAGTCAGTAAAACACAGCTACCTGGGAGGGGTTAGGGCATAGTGGGCACTGGTACAACTGAAAATGGAGCTAAATGAGCTAATACATGTAAAATTACATGGTAATGTACTGGAGCCATATATTTATAAAATGTCCAAAGTACTTTCCAATTAAGATCAATCTGAAATGAAACACATGCCCCTGAGGTTAAATATATAAATCAGTGACAAAATAGGATCTATAATAATGAAAGCATAATATGCTAATTGGACCTGACGTCTTTCCGGACCACCTTTCAGACGAAGCCAGGGCTGCCGCCAAGGGATCGAGGCACCATCACGGCTGTGAGGGAGGGATCAAGGCAGCCACTGCGGCTGCAAAGGCTTACTCTGGCACAAATTTCGTGCATCAGGCCTCTAGTGTAACATTAGAACTCAATTCATTCACAATACTTTAGCTCTAAGGAATAATAGGACATATATTATGGTGTTATTACATGAGATACCATTAACATTTCCCAGAAGACAAAAAGTAGGTGAAGAAAAGACTAAATGAGAGGAGAAATTAAGATCGGATGAGCATTGGCACTAGTTAGATGTGAATGATCTTTCTTATTTAGAAAATAAAAACCTCAGCAAGGTGTTCATTACTAATTATGTACTGTCTTGAGGACAAGGAACTAGTAACACAGAGTTTTGTAGTAACCAGCACTTTAAATAGGTTATCCTTCCAAGCTTTTCCAACTGGAACTGTGCCTGCTGCGGTTGCTCACATTTCAGGCTGCCTTTCACACCACAGAGCATGGCTCCAGTTAAGATCCCATATGGAGGAGACCACGCCAGGTTTGCAAGGCTTCTAATCCTTCTAGGAATGCAGAAGGTATGGCACTCAGAGTCCACTTTAGAGAGAAATCTGACAGCGTTTTCAATAAAGAAACTTTACAAAATTTTCCATGGGAAAGAAACTTAGAACCACGCCCACACGTACTAGCCTAAACGAATTGATAACACAGACAAATAAATTCCAAAATAACTTTTATTACTATATAAAGCCGAGTCAAGAAAAAAAATAGGTGCATATTTTTTTCTACAAAATTTTAAAATACTCAGGTTATTTAATATTTTCCCATAAATGTGTTGAGATAGAAAGACAAATTCACACACACAGATATTTTTCCAGGTACCGTATAGGAATAAAGAGTAATAGTTTTCTTTCTTCTCTACTTTCCTACGTGTAGCTCTAAGACATAGCAGTTACAGTTTTCTGTTGTAAACCTGAAAAAAGGACTTTCTAAGAGAAAAATTCTATCATGTTGCAATAAAACTAGCAGAAAGCTCTACTTCATCTTTGAGCTTTTAGATTTGGCAGCTGCGGTCAACCAGTATTGCACTGGAATTTCCAACTCGGCTGGGAACGACCCTAATTAAAAACAAGACACCCTCTTTACTCTGTCCTTTAGAAAACATACACCACTCGTCAGTATCCCTTAAAAGGTGCAATTGCCTCCTTTGTCATTTGATTGTAAGGCCTGCAATGCTGTTCCTCACCATCACAGCTCAAATGTATACACACAAAGAGAAGAAAGAGAAGTCCCTTGGGAGGTGGACTCAGTTTGACACAAGGAGCATAAGAAGCTGCACACTTGATAACATTAAATCAAAACGTATATTCATTTGAGCTTCTCAATAAACCCTCCAAGAGAAAAGGCGTTAGTGTGGATTTAGATGAGTGTTAAAATAAAACTTTCCCCCCTGAAATTAGATTATGGGGTAAACCAAGCCAGATGATCTCTGCAGATGACAGAAGCTATAATTGTTAGTGGGGAGCTCAGTCACTGTTTTGGAATTGATACCTAAGGCTTTCTTCTCCCCTATTCTTTCTTGTGGGCTTTTTAATGAGATATTTTTGGGGGAGATGCTTTAGGTAGAAAATATTAGCTTTTGAAAGATAAAGGTGCAATTATCTTTAGAATAGGAAGCCCATTTAAAAAAGTCTCAAAGAGAAAGTTTTTCTAGGTATATTTTGCCATGCATTGTTTTCATAAAGGCTGAGAAAGAACGGAAAGAAGCTCCTATAATATCTGTAAGATTACCCTCACATTAGCCAGAAAGAAAGACAAAAGAAAGGGCTGAGATGAGGGGTGCTCACATAGTTTGCAATGGAGCAGAATGTTCTAGTACCAAACCCATAATTAACTTTTCACTAATTACCCCTTTCTTGGCCTATGTAAAATGGAATGGCAGTTTCAACTTTTGAGGATCTCACTGACCCTTCCTCTCTAAAACCCCTGGAATTCTGTACCGCTCCATGTAATGAAGTATCCATTTATCAATTGTCTGTGTGTGGCAATGGAGTTCCTCTTACCTAGCCTGCTCTACCGATATTAAACTGACACTATTACCAATTTTGGAAATAGAATTACATAAGAAAACAGCGTTTCAGAGAGGGGATTTTGAATGGTTATCCATGAAGCTTAAGGGATGTGGTAGAGTGCATTCAATATTCAATCTATAGAAGTAATTACCAGCTATCCTAAGAGGAAATCCACTAAGCACTAAAAAAGTCAAGTGTATTTGCTATAAAACTGTAAGGTTTTTATCCTTCTTAAAGTGCTCCAGTTTAACATGGCAGGGAAACCGAAAATCGACCCGCAAATGAAAACCATCACTTCAGCATAGACACTGCTCTAGGTTTTAGTTTAAGTCAACCCCGAGAGGTCTCCATGCATGAAAGTTGTCTCCTCTGAGTCGCAATTCACGACTGAGAACACAAAGCTCAAGGTATCCCCTAAAATTCCAGGCAAGTCTGGAAGGACCCCAGCTGCTGCGCCACGAACGGCAGACCCTGAGGTAAGTCTCTCTCTCCCATCCTCAAACTGAAACTGTCCAGCAGCTAAGATCGTAACGAACAAAAATCTCAATTGATTATCTTGAAAGCTACAGATGTTCTTGCCCAAACTTCCTCCGTCATCAAGACACAATTTTAAGAACAAAGAGGCATCAAGGTAAACCATGGCTTGTTGGCTGTGCAAGGACACCCAGGACCTATTTCCAGGCCCTTTTCCTTGGTTATCTGAGGAATTTTGGCAAAAAGAGCCAGAAGGTATCCATTAACCACGCCACCGCACTCCAGCACCAGAAATTTATTCAGGGGAGGGTCAAAGTAGGTGCAGGTTAGTATAAAACAGAAAAAAATGGCACAGTGAAGGGGTGGGACTCATGGACTGAGGAGCCAGACCGGCAGGTTTTGAATCTTGGTTCCACCACTTATGACGTTGGGGCAAGTTACTAACCAGTTCAAGCTTCAGATCTTTCATCTGTAAAATGAAGATAATCATAGTCCCTACCTCATAAGGTCTGTCTGGAGATCGAATGAGCTAATTTATAAAGTGCTTAGAATAGCGCCTGGCACACAGTAAGTGCCATGCAACTACTTTAAAAAAATAAAATGAAAACAGAAACTGGAGGGAAAGGGCTCTGGGAGGTTTGTAGAGCAGTTGGTGCTGCCTAAGAATTCAGGCACATTCTTGATTTAATTGGGTCTGGAATCCGGATCATAAAATGTGCCAGATCCCAGGGAAGCCTTGGGACTAAGTTGAGTTTTGGAGGAACTTCCAGGGCTGCCGCTTTATCACATTTACCAACTGACAGATGCAGTGTGAGCATCGGGGCTCTGCAAGGCACAGGATGCATTGGTCCTCAACAAGAGGTAACAACCACAGTTTATAGCTGCTATCATTTACACTGACCATCTCCTTTCCAATGCAGGTAAGTTCATGGGCCTCGATCAGTACCAACTCTTTCAAGAAATCCTACTTTATGATTAAAACAATATAAACTCTATGGAGCTCAATCATCTTATGGCTAAATAGGAGACGCTAAAGTGTAGGGCTAGTTTTTAAAAGCAAAGTTACATGACTCCACCTCCACATCTTACATGGTGGACTTCGGACCACTCTCCTCAAGGGCAACGTTTCTTTTCCTGGCTGCTGCATCACTGCTTAACTCTGAACCTGATTTGTCCGTGTTGCCAAAGTTGATTGCCATGGAGCCTTCCACTCCCTCTGGAGTGCCTCCGTTTGGCTGAAGACGGAGAGAAGCTGGTTCTTTAGGACGTTTCCACTGCGGTCTGGTGACTATCCAAAACACGAGGGCCCCAAACACCAGAATCAGAAGGCCCAGGGTATTTGCAAAAATACCTTCTGGTGGGAATGTATTATAGCCAGGTGTTTTCCTAACAAAAAAATAAAAGAGAGAGCGAGAGTCAGTCCACTTACAAACAGAGTGAGACAGCAACATGCCAAACAGTTTTGAATTTATCTGCTGAAAATGCACACTGGTACAGCTTCAGTGTCAATTCCCTTAAAGCTTGATAGTAAGGGGAAATTTATGCAACCATTCACTCAGTGGAATAGAATGATATTGTTAAAAAACAACAACATTAGTATAAAAATAATATAGCTTCTGGAGCACCTGTATCACTTAAAAAATGAGAAAAGGATGATACAAAAATGTACATACACCATAATTACAATCAATAAAAACATGCACATCAAAAATATTGTAAGGCATGCATAATTTCAATAGTTGTTTTAAGAGTAGTACAACTTGCCCTAGCCAGTTTGGCTCAGTGGATAAAGCGTTGGCCTGCGGACTGAAGGGTCCCAGGTTCGATTCCGGTCAAGGGCATGTACCTTGGTCGCGGGCACATCCCCAGTAGGGGGTGTTCAGGAGGCAGCTGATCCATGTTTCTCTCTCATCGATGTTCCTAACTCTCTATCCCTCTCCCTTCCTCTCTGTAAAAAATCAAGAAAAAGTATATTTAAAAAAAAAGAGTAGTACAACTTACTGGATTTTTGGTCCTCCTTCAAGCATTTAGTAGTATTATATTGTATAATATAATAACCTGTATTTATATACAATGTTATATTGTATTATATAATAAATGTTTTTAAGAATAAATAATTAAAATTTTTAATGTTTTAATATTTAAAAGTTTGCTATATTTGATTACCTTTTCCCAATGAATAAGTATTTTTCCATTTATAGCTTAAGTATACAATTAGGGAAACTATGTCACTTACAGGGCAAATATCAGTTTCTCAGTCACTCCCATAAGGGCTGTTGCAATCACTGTTCCAAAGATGACAAGTCCAGAATAAACATGTATGGGCATGAGAAATGCTCGGAGAGAAAGTGGAGCCCAAGGAAGCAGAAAGATGAAAAAACCTAGGAGAAGCTAAACATCAAAAAGTGCAATGGTTATCATTTAATTTTAAGTTTTAACTATAGAAATTTAACATTATTATTTAAAAGCAATCTGTGCAAAATGAGAAAATATTTCATATAGAACTAAGGACATAAAATGAAAAGTAAGTTTTCCCACTCCAGTTCCACTAATCCAAGGTGACATCTAACATCAGATGTTAAAAGGTACTGACCTAAGTAACTTTGAAAATGAAACTAAAATAAAAGACAATAGGAACTATGCACGTGCACTAGACTCTAAGTAAGCGGTTCTCAACCTGTGGGTCGTCACCCCTTTGGGGGTTGAACGACCCTTTCACAGGGGTCGCCTAAGACCATCAGAAAACACATATATAATTACATATTGTTTTTGTGATTAATCACTATGCTTTAATTATGTTCAATTTGTAACAATGAAAATACATCCTGCATGTCAGATATTTACATTATGATTCATAACAGTAGCAAAATTACAGTTATGAAGTAGCAACGAAAATAATTTTGTGGTCGGGGGTCACCACAACATGAGGAACTGTATTAAAGGGTCGCGGCGTTTGGAAGGTTGAGAACCACTGTTCTAAAGCATCCTTCCAGAAAATTTCTGTGCCTATATAAACAAACGTGTGTGCACACGCGCACGCATATTTGTTTTGCATATTGTGTTCTTGGATATCTTTTCATAGTAACACATGATTATCTAGTTTATTCTTTCTAAAGGCTAATATTCTATTTTGAGGATGTAACATAATTGATTCAGTTCTTTATGTGTGTTCCTGTTTCCAGTTTTTTTGCTATCATTACATTAACAAGGCTACATGAACATTCTGGTACTTACTCGTTTGTTGTTGTGTACAATAGGACACATTTAGTCAGGTCAACCTAAAAAACTATGTGGTTTTTGAAAAAACTTTGTTTTACGAGGAAGAAATGTGTCCTACAGAAAAGTTGCCTTCATTTCCTTGACAATTCAGTCCTTAATAGAACACTTCTCAGCTGAGAAGCCAGCAAGTTCCTATGTAAACTGAAATCTTAACTCCTTCAGTTTTATTTTGTTGCCTCACACCCCCTGCCTATTAAGTATTCTCTTCTCTTCAAGAAAATAAAGATAACTTAGACGCGTTTAAAGGGACTATTTTATTTTTTCAAGTACCTATTTAGGATT